CAAGCACTCAACTGCAGATATAACCTGGGATGATCTAATAAAAGACAAAAAATAAAGACAGAAAAGAGCGTTACCTGGATTTTAAAAAATACCTGTAAATAACTTTTCTGGCTAATTCCACATCAGATGAAGTCTGACATAAATGCAGTAAATTTTTTAATTCATTTTTGAGAATTATTCCATTTTTCTTTAATTTTTCTTTAATACTTCTAAAATATGGATCTGAAAATAAAATACATAACAGGAGCAGTCTATAGACAATTCCATTACAAGTGTTGCATACTTGGTACCTAAAACATGGAAACTGAATGAATCAGAAAGCTTGTTTTTTCACCAAGAAAAATGCATAAAGCTTCTCACAGACAAGCATGCCAAGGTGTCTCCATGAAGTCATGTCAAACGTGGAAAACCAAGAAGATGCATATTGCGAACTTAATTCATTGTGTATGTTATGGAACATATCTGGTAATGGAAAAGTTTTAATGAGGAAGAAAGTTTTGTAACATTTTTTGTCTTCTGTTCTTTTTCTAAAGAGCAAGCAAACAAACAAAACCAATTCCACACAGCATTCAAACAACTGTAAAAACTACTCAACACTGTTCATACAGAAGACTCAAATTTCTTCACAGCTGATGAAAACACAAAGACTCTCCTATATAATCTGTGTTTTTCTATACACAGCCATAAACTTAAGAGTTGCTTCCCTTACCCTGCCCCAAAACAAGATGGTTCTCTATCCCACCCATTTTCCTATGACAAATCAAGCACAAAGATGAGTCCTCCAGTTGGTAATCTCAATCCACTGACCAACACACACAAGATTAAAATCACATGTACCACCTGACAGCCTCATTCCTCTCATGGTGCTGACCACATCTTGGGGAGAGAAGCAATCTTTTTTGTAGCACTGCTGTTTCCAAGCTAGTGAGCTACACAAGAGGTAAAAAGTAGGCACCACAGGGAACAACATATTCAGTTACTGGATGCATATCTGTTGCTACATGCAATTGCAAGTCCTTACTCGAGACTGAAATACAGAGCTGAATCCTGGAAGTTAGAAGAATGTATACATACAAGTAGGCATATATAATGCTTGTGATGTGTTCAAAGGTGCACAGAAATTCAAAAAACACCTGGGATCTGAATGGTATTTATACTATTGTAGGTAATTGTATAACTGCGGTACTTAATAGTATAACTATTGTCGTTAATGGTTGGATTATAACTACAATAAATAATAACTATTATATATTCTGTGCAACAGTTATTACTGCTTTTTCCATTACTAAACCAAGTTTTTATTAGCTCTAATTACTTATTTTCATTTTTCACATATTACATTAAACACTGAGTACAGAAACTATTCACACATACACATAAACAGATGTTTAGCACAATGTTTTCATTAGTTTTCAGAGGTTACTATTTGTATGAAACTAAAAGGTCAACTGTGACCTGTAAGGCCAAACATTTGGCTTCTACAAATCTGCTTTAGCAAAAGTGATTGACCCACAGCAATAAATAACATTATGACTTGCAACTGCACAATTTAAATTTTACTAAATATAGAAAAAAACTGTCAGGTTGACTTTACTTCCCTCTCTGTCCCAAAAGACTGATTTACATAAAACTAGATTTGTTTATTTGTCTCTTCCTTGTCTTAAAATTAAGTACAACCTTTGGAACACTAGAACACCCACACATGATAAAACAGGAGTTTTGCCTAAGCTTTCTTAAATAATAAGGGCAGCTTTATGTTTATACCTATGTTTCTTAAAGAAAGGAATTTGCATACATTTTAAACAGCATGACAAAATCCTTGTTAGAAAAAATCCACTGATTCTGCTCCTATATTAGTTTGGAAAACCTCAATTTGTTTTTCATATTCGGTGTAGCATATGTCAGCTGGAAGTGGGTGTACAACTGAGAACTTACACTAGGCAAAAGAAAAAAATCTAAAAGAATATGCTAACTAAACTTACAGAACAGATTAAAAGAGAATAACTGGTGAAGGCCTTTTCTGGATACTTAGGTAACTATGTGGCTTTGTGTTTCCCTTCTCTGTTGATGATGTATTTGAAGCGATATTTGTAGACTGAAACAGTATTTTCTATTAAATTATCTTAAAAATTTAGAAAAGGGAGGAGACAAACATTTCAGGTCTTACGCAAACACCTTGCACACATGAAAGCTTCTCCACACATATTCTCAACACAGCATAACTAACATTGTTTCATTTTACAAAGCCTCAGATCTTCCAATAATGGTAGATACAACAAATTTGCAGGAGGAAGACATAAGTTGTTTCTTTAAATGGGATCAATTGGTGTCATACTTTTGTAACTTGGACTGTTTCGTTTCCTAGGACTTATGCTAAAATTGAGAATGGTGACTATGAAATAAATTCTATACCTTTATTGCCATGAACTTCATTCCTAATTGCCACTTTCATCTGTTGAAATTCTTGTAACTTTATATCTTCTTCTGTTAGCAGATACCGCTTCCCTATCACAAAAAAAAAAAAGAGGAAGACTGAGTTTTATGTTACACTGTCTGATTTATTACTACTGAACCTTGCATGTATTAATTACTGACTTCAATTTTCTGATGCCAGACCATTGTCAGTATGACATTAAAAAACAGACTGCAAAAACTGAAGTTGTTCATGTCACAAACAAAAGAATTCAAATACTATGTTACAGCTCTATGGACTTTATGTGCACAAGGATGAAGAAGTATTTAGTTATTGAATGAGCACAAGAAAAAGTAGAGGCAATATTCCTCTTCACCAAGGAAGAGGAGCATTCTGCTCAGGAATAAGATCTTTCCCCCCTTTTATACTTTCATAATGATTTTTTTGTCATTTCTTTATTGTCCACAATTCACTAGTGGCACAGTTTGCTTTCCCCTTAAGTGCTGTCCCCACTGCTGTAGAACGCATCATTCTGGAAGCTCCAAAAGCAGTACGAAGACACAAAAAGCTTATTTTTTGAATTTATAAAAACACCAACTGTATTACTTGGATTCCAGTAACACTCAGGAGACCTAGTGAAGTTCTGTTGCACTACAGACATAGAGGTAAGACAGTTATTTAATCTAGAAGTTCAAAATTAACTTTGGGTGCTGACCTCAACTGTACTGTGTTGCAAGCTGCTTTAATAAAAGTGCCATGCAAAAGCTGTTTGACAAGTTTTTGCTGTTACAAAATCAGATGTCCATTAGATTTTTATCTGCAACTAATGACTTTGTAACAGAGAGTCACTGTAGCAGCTTACATTGTTACAATCTAATATTTTAAAGTTTTGGCTTCTTAAAGAATTATTGGAACCATGAAGGGACAAGAACAAGTATTGAACTGAGTTAGGTTGTTTATTCTCATTCTGCATTTCCCTAGAAAAATGTAACAGGCCATGCAAAAAAACCCACTTGTTTTCTATGCAAGCAAAGCATGCTAATGACACACTTCATAAAACCTGAAGCAAAAAATCCATTAAATGGCATATTCATCCATTAAATTTAATGGAAACTGTTCCAATGGGAAAACAAACACAATTTATCCAGCATGAAATTGACCTGTATTAGCCACCATTTAGGTCCCACAGACCTGGTCTAACAGCAAAAGCCCATCCCAGTCCTGGGCCTCTCCAGGGCTGGTGCAGGAATCATGCTAGTGCCTGGGGTGGGACCAGCACACTGCATATCACGGACACTCAGTGGTCACGGACAGTGTCAGCAGAGCGTGGGGTGCAGCAGAATTTTACCCTTCTTGAATTCAATTTGATGAATTCCACTGCTTCCTTAGATTCATACCTTACAGTGTTACAGAAACCAACCAGTGCAAAACCAAGCAAAGGGACCTCCAGTGAAAAAGGAGGGAGATGGATATGATGGCTGGCATGTGCAGGTGGTGCAGGCTATCCCAGAGAACTTAACCAACTAACCTGCTCTGCCTCACTACCCTCTACCAGGCTGGCCAGTGAAGAGGGGTGGGCAGAGCACGAGGCAGAATGGAAGGCTCCATGTCTCTGAGGGGTCTAACAGAGCTGTAACCTCAGTGAGGCCTCCACAGGCCAGGAGCCCAGCCAGGGCCTGGGCTCAGAGCTCTGCAACATACACCTCTTTTCCATGTGCCCCCATTTCCTTCTCTGGGCAAGGGAGTGCCTTTGGAAGGCCTCTGAAGCCCAGAGTCTGGATAACACTGTCATCCTCCCAGAATAAACACACATTTATGAAACTGCACATGTGTTTGGTTGGTTGTTTCCTTTTCAATGTCACATCCTGACAGCAGCAAGTAGGAGATCCGCTCACTAACGCTGACCTCCAGGGTGACCTTACTGTGGCCTTTCAGTACCTGAAGAGGGCCTACAGGAAAACTGGAGAGGGACTATCACAACGGCATGTAGTGCTAGGACAAGGAGGAATGGCTTTTGACTGAAATAGAGTAGGTTTAGATTACATATTAGGAAGAAATTCTTTACTCTGAGAGTGGTGAGGCACTGGAATAGCCCAAAGAAGCCGTGCATGTCCCATCCCAGGAAACGCTCAGGGCCACGTTGAATACGGTTCTGCGCAACCCGATCCCGTAGAAAGTGTCCCCACGGCAGGGGGTTGAAACCGGACGATCTTTAAGGTCCTCTCTAACCCAGGCCATTCTGGGATTCATTTTCTGATCTTGTAAGGCCACTGCCCACCCTCCCCGCACGGCCTGCCCACCAGGAGCCCCTCGGCGCTCCCCGCCGGAACACCACGCGCAGAGAAGGGAATCCAGGCAAGAACTACAGTTCCCGTAAGGCCCACGCCTGGAGGCGGCGCCGGACCTGCCGAGTGTCGCCGTACCCGGTATCCCCCGCACCGGCGGGCAGCCTCGCTCCCCGGCCAGGCCCCCCCCTCGCCCGCCCCCGCCGCGAAGCCCGCAGTACCTGCGGGCACGCAGCCCCAGGCGCCCGGGGCGGGCAGGCGAACCGCCGAGCGCCGCGCCGCCTCCCGCGCCGCCCGCCGGGACCCGCCCGCCAGCACCGCCGCCATCTCACGGCCCGGCCCGCGGGGCGGGGCAGGCCGGGGCGCTCGCAGTCTCCCCGCGCCGCCCACCTCCTCCGGCCTCGGCATCATGGCCGCCCCCGTGCTCCGGCGCGCCGTGCTCCGCAGCGGGAGGGCCCTCGGCGCGGGCCCAGGTCGGTGCGCTGCTGGGGGGCGCGGCGGGGCGCGAGGCGCGGCCGGGGCACGGCGCTGGTGGCCGTGGTTGCCGCAGGCGGAGGTGGGAAGCGTGAGCAGGGGTGGGATGCTGCGCCGGGACTGCCCTCACCTTCCCCCGTTTCTCTCTCTCTTCGTATATCTGTATGAAATTGGAGGCAGCTCTGTGGACGTCTTATCGCTGGCGTGCAGTGTAGGAGAGTGTTCGCAGTTTGTATATTAGTGGATCCTCCACCGTGCGGATTTCATAGCTCGACATTTTAGGGCCTGCCCCTTTGGGCCGGGGGAATCCACGCGGAATCGTATGAGAGGCCGCCAAGCCCGTGGCAGTGCGTGCCCAGCACAACCTGGTAACGCCGGTGACAGAAGAGCCGCAAGGCTGATGTCTTGGAAAAGACAAAAATGTGACCCTTGGGAAGAACGGAGCTCAGTAACGTTTGCCTAAAGAGTGGTGGTGATGGGTGACTCCGTTGTGCCTTTTCACACGCGGAGCACGCTTTCCTCCGTTCTGCTTCCTGGATGCCCAGGGTTCAACCACGCCGCCCTTCCCTCTGGCGCTGAACCGGCGTGAAGAGCTCAGCCCTGACCTCGGCTTACCCGAGCATAGAGCTGTCAGGCGGACAGTTTTGGTATAGAGAATAGTTCTGTAAAGCCTCATGCTTGGTAGTAGCATCCTTTGCGTGAATAAGCATACAGTAATTTACCCTAAAAAAAACCCAACCAAAAAATCCCCAGAAACTCACACCAACCTCCCCAGGTCTTCTGTATGTCTCTTTTGTCAACCTAATGAAAAATAGCACTAAAAGAAACCGTACTAACCAAACAAAAATACCTTATTTTCTGTTTGGTGAAGTGATGTACATACTCTCATATTCTGACTGTGGAATTCTGTGTTCTGGGCCTTTTTGATAGACGTTTGCAAAGTTGTTCGGAGGTGGACATGTGGGTATAATGGTGTGTCAGAAGGATGAAGAGAAAAATTGTTTCACAACCAAAACTAAACTTTCAGAGGTAGCTGATTTTCAGATTAAAGCTTTAAGGTAGTTGCTTAGACTTCTGTGTAGCATTGTAATGTCTATTTCTAAAATATTTCATATTTCTTAACATTATTTTCTGCAACCTTCTACATGTATTCCTATATCTTCCTTCAACAAATTTTATCCAGGTCTTCCTCATGCATTTTCAAGAACACATCATCTGTGGCTGATGTACAAAGTCTTCCAGCTGAAGCATTTTCTGTTTTGTTTCAAAAGCTAGTACAGCATCTTGAGCAGATTTCAAAGGTGGTACAATGAGTATTTGGAAAAAACTTCCAAAAATGTTTCCGTGAATGCACGATTCACAGGAGATAGAAAAAATGGAGAATATTAAAAGGGAAGTATTTCCAGTTGAGCATTTAACTTTCACTTCCAGTGAGACGGGTCTTTACAGGTAGAAAAAATAACTATCCAGCAACAACAGAAAAGCCTTTTTGTGCATAGCCATGTTTTTTGCTTATGTTTTTTAGCCTACATTTAGCTAATTGATAGCATTTGATAAAAAAGGTCTGTGTGCACAAAGAAACTGCTTTTATTGTTCTTTGGGTTTTTTTCTGCCTTTACAAATTTGTCCTTTTCTTAAATAGAGAGTTCAGGTTTGGAAATATTTCTTTCGTGATGAAAAAAACCTTATAGGGGAAAGCTTTTCTGTTTTAAATATTACAAGAAAATAATAAAAATAAATAACAATAAGTATAATAATAATTAAATACTAATTAAAATAATAATTACAATGAATCAGAATTGTTACAGTAGTAGTTGCTGACTGCTGTGTTATAAAGACAGCTTAATGCATCCCACTCAGTAAATGGGACAGTAAAAGATAATAACTAATAAAGTGTTACTTTGTTTAGAGTTGTCTAAGCAAACTAGCTTACATAGTATTGTATTTCTTCATTAGGTAGAAGATCTCTTCTTTCTGCGGCCTATGTGGATAGCTCAAAATGGGAAAAGAGACAAAAAGAGGAGCATAACCTGGGTGAGGAAAGTTTGTTTCTTGTCTTGTCTCCACTTTATCAAATGAATAGCAAGCTAAACTAATTTTTTACTAGCTCATCATCTGTAAATAAGAAAATGTGTGAAGCAATATGCTTCTAAGGTTCTATGTCAAAAGGTGTTCAACATATTAAAAATTTGTCATAAATATTCAAAGCTATAATGCAGAAACAAGTTAGAATTTGCCCATTTGATTAATATTTGGTTTCTACAAGCTAGTTTTTTTCTTTCACAAAATCCAAAGTTTTATGTCTGTATCCAAGTGTCATCTTCGTTGACATTGTTTTAATTGTACAGCAGTGCGAAAGAAAAACTTAAGTATTGCAGGACAGTCCTGTTTAAAGACATTTTTTAAAAGGAACATTTTCCTCAGAGTTTTGCAGTTTCTTGTTGAATTACAGATTTTTTGGGGTGGAATGAAACCAAAAGTTTTATTTTCAAGAAACTATATGTTAAACTGTATCTGCGTACAGAACTGAGATCTCTAGTGCAAGTTTTATAGCTAAATTATTTGGCTATGTTACATTTGAAATTACGTTCCACCATCTTTTTGGTGACTACGTTAAATAGAAAACATCTTGCAAAACATATTTCCATGCTAAAGATAGATATGCAGTATTTTGTACCACAGGTGTTTGGAGACTCCTTAATACATAATCCTTGTCTTCTCTTTTTCTTTCCTGGGCCCCTGAACCGTAGTTGTTACTTACAATGCAGATTATGAGGCTGAAAGAAGAATCAGCAGGTGAAATTCCAGGAGTTGTGTCAGGCAGGAAGCCAGACAAAATGATCAGAATGATGGTTTTTTATGCCCTGATTTGTTTCTTGTATTTGCACGTGAGGATGTAGGGGTTGGGATTGCCAACATGTTATACTGTACCTGGATCAGGAACAATTGGTGGGTCCTCATGGCTGTAGCTAGAATCCTGCGGAGACTGTTAATACCATGTTACCCTTTACTGTCAATAGGACTGCTCATGCAGTGTTTTTTGGGCTGGAGCCACAAATTTGTGCCCTGTGATGTATTTGAACCAGTCACCTTCAGGTGAAAATGGGTTATTATTTTGACAAATGTCATAGCCAATAGAAATCCACCATTGAAGAAAACACTGTTGTGCAAGTGCTGGTCCAGTCCATGTTTGGCTTTTCCCAGGCCTGGCAAGATCTTCTGTGACTGTTTGGCAGGCACGGTTCTTGCTGCTCCTCTGCTGATTATCTTGATCCAAAGCAGATGTCTGCTCTGTGCTTTTCAAAGAACTGCTTTGCATTTTCATTTTGTGTTCACAGAAAAGAGAAAATAAGTTAACATGGTGTCAGCTTTATTAGCATTTTCAAAGAGGAGACAGCCCTGCAGACGTCTGCTCTGTAGCTGTCAGTTGTATGGTTGCACATATAATCTTATGTGTGGTAACTGCTGATTATAGCTTGAGTGAATTCCTTGTTGCTGAGGAGATGCTCTTTTATTTGTTCTTCAGACGTTGTTTCAGAACTGTTATTATGCAAAACTATGTTGTGAGGATACTTTTAAAGGAAAAAAAAGTATTTAAGTATTTTCTTATTTAAAGTCAATTCCATTTCTCTGCTGCAATAATGTGCCATCCCAGACTTGAACTCATTTACTGCATCCATGTAAGATACACTTTATTGTCATCTCTGTAATCTCAGTTTAGCATTCCAGGCAGGAATGAGTTTAGCAAACTTCAGTACTGAAAAATGTGTGGGAAAGAACAAGTCTGTATTTTGTGTACAAAAGGGCATTTGTTCAAAAAGATAGGAATGGAAAATATGTTAATTTGGAATTTACAAGCTGCTTGCTGGTAGGAAGATATCTACCTAGATGTGGTTTGGACTCCATTTACTAAAAATGAAGTATCAAGGAAACAGAAGGCGTGGCTCGGCTTAAATTCTCTATTGCTTCAGTTGGTTCATCACTAACAAGAATGAAAGTAAGTCACAGTAAGCACCTTCATGAAAAGAAAAACAATTACCAGAATCCCAGGGGATGGCGTTAGATTCAGAGTGCCTAAAATGGCTCACCTGCAACACCAGGTGGCAGTGCTGCCTTTACAGACTTGAATGACTTCCATTCAAAGCCTTGTTCAGTACAAAGCTGTTGTTCTTTCCAGAAGCTGCTAGTTGTGTGGAAATAGAGAGAAATGTGGAACGTATAAATTGTAAGGTAAAATATTTGCCTTAGCCTTCCTTTATATTTTAATTGGATCTTTAAAATAAATCAAGGCTTTCCTTATATCGAATGGTTAGCCTATGAGTTAGCTCTGCCCATCATTCCCAAGACAAGTAAATTTTGCACCGCATTTGTATCTTCTTTCCCTATCACTGGATCAGAACACTGTTCTGGATGAACCACTTCTAAGAATACAAGGATATAAACAGAATAAAAGTGACCTTACGTGGTGGTTAAACGTGCCACTTACTGATAATGTTCTACTTGATGTGGCTACGTTCTGTGCATAGGTACACACTGTGAACCAAACTGATACTGTGATGATTTCCTAGGCCACCAAACTGGTGTTAGAAGTCATAACCACTGACTTGGAAGGTGACGGTCAGTATTTTCTCAGTCATTGTCCTTAATCACCCTGTTGCAGGCAGCAAGACACTGAGTTTATGTGAAAAAAATGAAAATAAAAGTGAACATGAAGTCTCAGATACCGATCTTCTAGAGACCACATGCCTGGAAGTTTACCTCAGCTCATATTTATGGTTTGTTTTGTTAGTTTGTTTAAATCCATTAGATTCTTCAATATGTGGAACTATGTTTTTAGAGAAGTTTAGTTTTGAAGGAGTTAATCTTGTAGAAATGTATTTTTAGGCAGTGTGTATGAGAGATTATATACAGTAGTGTCCTCTTTGGTAATTAGTCACATAAAAGCACTTGCAACATGTGTCTGTTAAAATGAACATAGAATTTTGATCTGTCTGTTAAAATATTGATTTGGTTTATATACTAATGTTAGCACTCAAGTTTTACTACCAGCAGTGACAGGAGATTTGGGCATTCACATGCTTGCATTCTAGTGCTTCTGTCAGGTTTTTTTTGACGAAGAAGTAGTTTTAATCTTGATTGCTGAGTAGCAACAATGGAGAAAACTTGATTTACAAAAGGTAGCTGAATTATTTCAAACTGTGAATGTGAGAAAAAAAAAAGTCTGATTTTAGATGCTCTTCAGAGAAAACAAACCAGTAAAGAATTACTCACTGCAAATTATTCTTATCTAGTAACTACCACAGAAACAGCAGCTTGTATGGAAACAAAACTGAATTTCCCATTCTCTTAATTTGTCTGCTATTCTTTTAGATTTAATCAACTTTCGGTTTATTGTGACTCTTACACTGGAGTTGATTGATAAGTGCTTCATGTTGCTTTCCATACTATAGTTCTGGTGGAGAGTTCCAGCTTTATAAGTAGCATTAAAGGTCAATGATTAAAATTCTGTGTGTGAACTCTCCCAGAGGATGCTGGTGTATAATGGCTAACAGTCTTGTGATCTTGCATTCATGCCATTGTATTCATTGGGTTTATATTCTGCTTAAGTACTCAGTGGGCTGTTCATCTTCATGAGCACCTAGACAAAAGAAATGCCAAGCTCAGGGCTTGAGTGTGGCCCAAAATGGCCATAGGGATCACCTAGTTTTCTGAGAGTGATGCGTAACAACTGTAGTTCTGCAATAGATAAATGAACTCCCAATATGTGCAGTTTTCTGTCTCAGGTCCACATTGCTGTGTCCAGCATATCAGATTTTGGAACGAATACTTCTTTCCAACTGTCTCGAAATGGAGATGAAGAATGGTGGATGACAGTTGGCTTGGTACATTTAGGCAAGGACCTAGGCAGTCTTTGTTCTGGATAAGTTGACTTAGTCTTAGCATCCCTTCTTTCTGACTTCTGTCACTACTGGGAAAGCTCCCAACGCCTTTGCCCGTGTGTGTCATCATGGTGTTTGTGACTGCTAGAGAGTTGGATAATATAGAGTCAAATATAGACACTTCTTGTAAGGCTATTCCCACTTAAATTTCTTTACCAATAAAGAAGTCAGTCTGCTTTTTAGTGGTTATCTGGTGTAGCGTGGCCTTGGTGGCCCACATCAGCTCAGCATCCTTTGTTGTCGTCTTCATTTTCCAGGAACAGTATAAAACTAAAACTCCAAATTAAATTAATTTAACTTCTAATTAAATTCATTAAATGCAGCAATGGCTGGCTACCTGTTCAACAGTCAGAAGTTTCAAGTTGTGTATGGTTGAATTAATATTGTTATATGACTGCTGAAGAGAATGCTATAAAGTTAATAAGGTACTGGCACAGTGCTCAATTTGATTAATAGGATTTCTTTGTATTGCTGTTTGTGATGGAAGAGTTTGTCAGTATGGTACTGCTTGTTTCTGTTTCTCATTGTTTTACTGTAAAATAAAAATCCATGCCAAAAGCACTGTCCAGCGTATGCTAGGCTTGAAACCAAGTGGGAATTCTGAGGACATCTGGTTAGTTGTTTTTTTTAGGTGAGTTATAGTAGTTATATGAATTTCATCCAGCACATTATAGGGTAGTTTGCTTTTCCCCCCATTTTACTAATAAGTTAGGATCATCATATTGAGAACCTTTTAATGTATTATTTTCTGTTAAAGTATTTAACAATAATTGAAAGTACTGTTTTCATACAACTTCAAAATGAGATGTTAAAAAGTAACCAGAATTTGATTTCATGGACACAGGTTCTATTCAAGGTTATATGATGGCTCTGCAGATTTTCCTGTAATGCCAGTTGATTAAATGTACTCTTTTTCTGCTTTCTCCAGCTGACTTGGCCCACTTAATGGACAGAACCTATGAAAGAAAGCTGCCTGTCAGCTCTTTGACAATAGCCCGGGTAAGAAAATGAATCCCAATCATGAAGTCATAGAAATGACCATGGAATGCTTGTGTAATCAAGTGAGCTGAGAAGGAATAAATGATATCACCTCAGTTGGGAGTTCTGGGATCATAAATGTCTTGCTATACTGTTAGATGGCTGTATAAAGCCGTTTCATTGTTATTTTAGACTCATTGTTATTTTAGACTCATTAGTTAGTACCTGGACCGTAGGGTCTTCAGAACAGAATATTTCTTTTTTCTGTAAAATCAAGCCTCACTATTAGTGGGTTGTGTTTTTCCCTAGTGTATGTTCCCAGCCTTCTTGTGGTTTCTGCCTTTGTGAGAGCTTTAATGCCTCCTCAGGCACTGCATAAGAACCCAGGCTGCTAAGGGAATGCAATAAATTAACACCCTACACTGTCTGTCTTCCTCCACTTACAAACTTCTTTCAGTGAGGCAGAGGTAGACGTATTTTGCTTCTGTAGTTTTCTTTTCTTGCAGCAGACTGAGGCAGAACAAATGCTGACATGGGTTAAGCAAAGCCATTATTTTTACTTGAATTAGTAACCAGTTCCATCCTCTGCATGGGTTAATCTGGAGAGGGGGAGCGAAAGCAAAGATGTGAGCTGTGTTTTTAAGTTACCTGTGTAAGAGAGTTTGTATTGAAGAAGGAGAATAAATATGTCACTTGTTTAAAAAAAGGAAAACAAACAAATTTCAGTCTTCAAAATTACCACAAAAAACTGAATTACCACCCTTGTACCTCAGTGATATCATTAATTAGGATCATTTGCACCACTGACTGAGGAGTCACAGAACCCTTTGTTCAGTTACAAGAGCAAGCATTTTTACAGATCAAGCATTCTTGATCATTGCTTCTGAGACAGGGTCCATGAGAGAAATGAGTGTTCCTCTCCCTTTTATTAAATAGCTTTATTCTTTTCTTGCATTCTCCTGCTTTGGGGTACCTTTTTTGTGGAGAAATGGCATTTTCAGATTGTCAGACAGCCCCACTTTCCAATACCTGGAGCTCACAGCAGATACTTATTTTCTAAAAGGTAGATAAAGGACCCAGGCATGCTATTTCTACACTTTAAAGATGAGACCTATATATGTACAGCATGCATGGATAATTAAGAAATGGGAGATCAAATAGCAGTCAGCTGAAATTATTATTTTTAGCTTAGGATAAAGACAGTACTGACCTTGAGAACATGTTTATATATTCTCAGCTAGAGGTATTATGTTGGGAAGACTCTAGTGTTTCGGTGTCTTTATGTTAGTACAAGGTGCAGGACAACAGGATACACGTCCCATAACACAGAGTCTGGGTGAAAACTTGGCTTGTATTTAGTTGATAGCACTAGGAATTTTGTAAGATTGCCTGAAGAAGACAGGGTTGTAAATGAAAGGAAAATTGTGTTTTATAGCATGGGGTTTGAGTTTTTTTCGTACCAGTGTTTATATGCATGGTGAAATACAAAATGCTTTTCCTCTTGTCCTTCAGAATATATAGTAAGAATAGGCACAACAGTCAACTTTAGAGAAAAAGATATTTTTTTGAAGAGAATTAAGGTATGTCAAGGCTCACTTAAAACTGTAGCAAACAAACCTAAGGACCTGAATGTATTCTTAAAATAAAGGATGTGATTAAGAGAAAAAATTCAGAAGAGCACCAAAAATACAGGGTACTAAACTCTAGAGACTTAATCCTCAGATGGTCTGCAAGTTGCATAAAGTTTCTCAGAGGTGAGGAAGGGAGTTGTCTCAGTTTAGAAAGATTTGAGTTCTAGCAGTCTAGAAGAAACCAGAGTTAGGAGCAAGCAAAGATGTGAAGAATTCCAGTACTGTCAGACAGCTAAATATGCTGACAAATGTATTTTGTTATTGCATTTTCTTCTAATATGCTTTATGAGTGCTCCGTCTTGAAGCTTTTGTTTCTTATGTTTTAATCAGTTTGTTGACAACATTTCTTCACGAGAAGAAGTGGATCAAGCTGAATACTACCTTTACAAGTAAGCGTCTTTTCTCTCCAGCACAAACTTTGAGTCATACAAGTATATACCATGAGGTGTTGTCCTTTGAAGAAGACTGACCCTTTACAGCTTACTGGCTTCGATTTCTCTCTAGCAAAGTATGCTCATCTACTTGTCTTACAACTCACACCTAAGGGCTTTCTTGGTTGTTATGGCTGTCCTCCTCTGGACCTCTGGCATTGATTCCTGTCAGGCATGTTAGTTTGAACTACTGAACAGCCAATGCAACCTCCAGCTGTGGTTTACATTAGAAATTATAAGGAATTATGTTTGTTCACAGCTTTTCCTTCTGATAGTTTTTTATTACTAAGTCATTATATATCTAAATTTGCTATATGCATATTTGTGTGTGTATGTATAGGACTCAATGAAGCTTGTTTCCTTGGAACTAGCAAAAATGAAAATGGACATCCTATGGTAATGATCAGGTCAAGGTTGAATGAAGTGTAGTTTTTATCCCCTTACTACTTTCATGTTTCCCAGATCAGCTGTGTGGTTCACCTTATGCATGGGTTGTTAGGGTTTTCTGCAACTATTCTTGTGTTAAGTGAAGTGTACAGGGTACCTTTACTGCTGGTGTCAGGTTGAATGCTTGCTTGCTTTAAGTCAATACCTCTCAATATTGACTTTAAGAGGGCAAAAATTCTTGCTGATCACTAAAACAAATTAATTCCTTTATGGATGGTTGCACGCACCTGTTGAAAGCTAAGTCTTCTGATGGAGAAAGTAACTCCTGCTGTCAAAACGTGTGAGAAGGCATCCTTACAAATAATGTCAGGTTGTTATTTGTAAGTAACAATGATTTTTATTTTAATTAAGATGTTTGCTGGATGGCTGTTTTAATTAAATGCATATTACATTAGAATTCAAATCTCCGTGATTCGCTGATACTAATGGGACAGTATCTGAATACTAGCAATATCCTGTAGTGAAAAAATAAAAATAGGAAGAACCTCTCACAGAGGGGAAGTTAGTGGAGCTTTCATTCCTTTTGATCAAGATTTCCTTAGTCCTGTCAGAATCTGTGGTCAAAAATGAATTTTCCATCCTGCAATGGCAGAGATGAAAACAGGACAAGGTAAAGCCACTTTAATGCCAGCCGTCTGGTACCTTTTAGTAACATTCTTGAAGATTGAAAAGTATTTTGTGCGACACGTACTTAAGCCCTCTCTGATTGAGTCAGGGCCTCTATGATCAGGGATGTCAAGAGACCTTTGATTTCCCTGACATGCAGAGGAAAGTGAATTACTAAGTCTCAAAATGGTACAGATAAAATCCAGATAGTGAGACATCCATATATAATGTATCTTTCAGGTTCTTTATTCTTACGTGTTCTTTCTTTTTGAAAAAAGTTCAAGGAGAGTGACAAAAAAATAGAAGCAAGAAAATGGTCCATAGTAAGAGGTAGAGAATGGTATGGGAATCTCCTAACATGTAAATATCCTTTTTACTTTTCATCTGTGCCTGGCTAATTCATCAGTTTAAAATACAAGGTTTCTATCTTAAGAACACATCCTTGTGTAGAGAGTTACATTTCAAGAATAATTACAGTTATTTACCATTTCCCTAAGAAATAATTCTCCCATGGCTGGTGAGAATATAGTTATGTGCACATCAAATACGATCATTTGTATCAATGTGGAGAGAACAGAGAAGTACTGATGTGTCACATGGCTTGTCAGACATGCTTTAGCTGGAATTTTTCTTTGTGTCTCTGCAATGCTGCTTTGTTTTGGTGTTGCAAAATGGTTAGTCTTTTGGTGATGTTAGCAACGTTTTTCAGTTCATTCCAGCATTGATCCATGAAACTGTTCTCAAAAATGCACATATGTACAGGTAGTGATTGGTATTTGCAAGACCCCTTTAACTGGTCTTTGCACTTAGACTGGAGTTCAAATGAAGGATGTGTTTATAAAAATAGGCCTTTGCATGTGGGAGCATGTTCGGCACAAAAAAGTCCTGAAAAAGGGGCCACACCAGGAGACATAAATGAAGGGAGTAGAGAGGGAGAATTAAGAAGCAGAGAAGCTTTGACAAGTAATCTCTTTTTATGCCTTCATGAGAAACAGTTCCAAGCACAATTTTTGTACTTTATGTAAGGAGAATAAGCTTTTAAAAAGGAGAAAGGCAGTGTAAAATAAAGACTGGTTTTGTGTCCTCTGAGGTATACAAATCCATTGCAAACAAATGGTCTGGTAAGTTGACTGTACGTGCATTTTCCGGAACATAAACGAGAGAATGCTCCCAGAGTCCTGTGTTTTTCCCCTTAACTGCTTGTAGAGTATAAAGAAGGGATTTTGATATCTCTCCCCAGTGTTTGGTGCCTCTGGCAACCTGAGGTGAAGGGTAGTCAGTTCCAAGGCCCCTACAAGGCTGGAAGATGTTCCTGGTACAAAAGGCAAAATCCCTGCAGGAAGAATCAGGGGAAAGTATGCTTGCTATCTCGAGGTTTTCCGAAGACAGGAGTGACAGAACTTGTAATCATTAGCTTTGTAGACTGGGGAGTTTCCTTCTATTATGTCAGATGTTTCAAAAAGTAGTATTCTGGAGCATTACCATAATGCATTTAGGGTTCTGAAATACAATTATATGTATTATATCTAGACCTGTTTCAATTTTCTATCCTTTTAAAGCAGTGGATCTCCAGCCATACTGTCTCCACAGAGGATCTTGAGCTCCCAAGAATAGCTGTGTGGAAACTGCTATGCCACATTGTGAAACATGTCAGTAAGATGCTAAAGGCCAGTTTGAGGCATGACGTCATCTGCTTTCAGTGCTCCTCTTTTTGTTCTCTTCTGAATACCTCCCCCCCTCTGTTAACTGTCAGACTTAAAAAAACCCTTTCATCTCCTAGGATCCCAGCAAAAATTCTAATCAGAATGCAGAGCCCTTTCAGCTAGATCAAAGATCTGCAGTTCGCCTTACTTTGTCCTGTCTCACTGAGATGTCACTATTTCACACATCAGGGTGTTTTTCATATGATGGAAACATTAGCATAATGGAAGGAGGTTTTGTGGTGAGGTAACTGCTGATTCTGTATGTAGGTTTTATGCCAACAAAGATTTTCAATGGGTATGAAAGCAATTGGTGAAGTTTTATGTTGAGATTCCTCAGGAGAATTTTTAATTGCATTGAATGCATGACCCACTCTGTAGATAAAAGTATACACACTATCTGCACAACACGTTTGTATGTGCATGCGCTCTGCAAATTCTTGCACAATCTACCTAGATCTTTTTATTACCTTTCTGTGCTTGATAATTGCTTTTTACCTGGACTCCTTACTTGATTATAATCACAAAATGGGACAATAGTCTATTAGAAGTTATTCTTAGATGTAAAATATATATATATATATGTAATATCTTCATAGAATTGTTTAGATTGGATGGTAGTAAGTTACAGCTTTGAAGCCTGATTTCAGCCTTTAAATCATTTTGGGACTAAGATGGTCCCAAAATGCTCTATATATATGAAATTGTGCTTATTCCTTAAAATGCCTGTTATCAGTAGTTAATGCAATATTATGTGCAAAATAAGTTTCACCTGCACTGTCTGTATTTGCATGTCTGTTTTGTGGGTGCAGAAGTTGCAGTTTTTACTACTTTCATGCCAGTCAGTCAGTTCAGTGTCTGAAAATGTTATTACTATATAGTATTGTTTATAATAAATTATCATAATGGACCAAAAAAATGTATTCTGGAGTTATACTTTACATGGCATTCATTCCCACTAGTATGCTATTTAGTTTCTGTATACAAATCTACATTATGTAATGAATACCATTAACCTGTTCCAACACAAATATAAAAAGGAGAAGAGATGTAGACACAGTCCTGTAACATATTTAATTCTTCCTTTGAGGTGTTTTCGTTGTCCTAAAGCTGTAGCCAAAATAGACTTTGTTAGTTGATCAGGTCTTGGTTTTAAGTCCCTCCAGAGAAATATGTGTGCTAAAAAAGAGGCGTGAAAATAAATGAGTCAGAAATATCTGCCTACTATTCAAGTTATGCAGCAGTTATATTTTGAAATGATGTTGAGAAGTGGTGCAAGAGAAGAATACACTTTTGTAGGCAGAATGATACTTTTTACCAGTTTGGACACCTGCCTCAGCTGAGCAATCTAAAATAAGTCTATTTGCAAAAAATTTGGGCTGCTCTTTGGCAGGTTGGGAGACAGAAGGAAGGGAAGCACCAGAGAGATTAACCTCATTAGAATGTTTACTCGTTTTCATGTGAATGACAGAAATACCAGTGTTTAGTGCTGTTTCACTATGGTTGTCAGTGTGTGATGCTGCTTTATGTGAAGAAATATTGGTCACTATCCAAACCAGCGCTGTCAGATGTAAGTGTTCTGGTTGTAGAGACTCCACCATTTTTCTGGCTCCAGCATTCACTTCTTTCTGCACATGTTCTTACTCTCCCTGTCATCTTTTACAATTTCTTTGTTGTCATTGTCTCTCTGTGGTTTTTGACAGCATGAGCTGTAGGAATCGACAGAAAAAACAGCTCGTAACCACATTTCAGAACCTGAAGCCAAATTTCAGCGAGCCTTATCCTGTAACCACATCTAATTCAAGTGGGTGTGCTCAGAGTAACCATGCTGTGCAGCGCAGGAGAACTCTCAGTAAAGGTACAACACTGGCAAGCATTTAGAAATATTTCTTCCTGTAATACATGTCTTTTCAGTCATTTGCTTTTTGTAGTTCATCTGTCCTTTTTATAGAGTTTCCTTTAAACTTCACAGAAACTGGACAAGAATATTCTAGGCACTGCATATAAAAGCACAAAAAGTTGGAAGACTTTCCTTCAGCACTAGTCTCTTTTTTTTTTGTGTGTATTGCCAACAGTAAAAGGATAAGCATTTGGCTTTTAAAAGCTTTATATTTAAAACAAGAGAGAAAAAAAGGATTCTGCTACAAACAGAATGCAATATCAACATTATGGGGTGGTTCCCTCCTCCTGCTCTGCAAAATTTCT